GAACTTACCTGTTAAATTCTCTAGTCATTCTAGAAGAACTTGGTGATGCAAGAATCTGACATTCTGGCTCACCATATATTTTTGTCACTTTGACTCATTCTAGAAACCCCAGTCCATGCAAACGACACAGTCACAGAAGAGAAGGTGTTCTATTTATGAGTTTCCTCAAGGTTCCCTTCATGCCCTGTTCCTCAGGCTGTAGATGAAGGGGTTCATCATTTGAGGGACAACAGTGTACATCACTGAAACCACTGCAGTGTTTCTGGAAGAGTTAGTAAGAGCAGAACTTACGTATAGCCCCAAACCTGTCCCATAGAACAAAGACACAACTGACAGGTGAGACCCACAGGTGGAAAAAGCTTTATACTTCCCACCTGCTGATGGCATTCTCAAAACAGAGGATACTATCTGAGTATAAGAGAAAATGATTCCACCCAGAGGAATACCACCAAATATGCTAGTTGCAAAATATATCAGGATGTTATTGATGAGGGTGTCAGAACATGCGAGCTTGATGACCTGAACAACTTCACAGAAGAAGAGAGGGATTTCAAGGTCTGTGTAGATGGTCAGTTGCAATACCATCAGACTGTGCATCAGGGCATCCACAACGTTAATGCACAGGAGAGTAGAACCAGCATGCCACAGAGGTGGGAGTTCATGATGACTGTGTACCTCAGTGGATGACAAATGGCCACATAGCGGTCATAGGCCATTACTGAAAGAATACAACTATCCAAACTTGCAAAAACCAGGACAAGCAGACCTGCATGAGGCAGCCTGTGTAAGTGATGCTCTGATTCTGTGCTTGGATGTTCACCATCATCTTTGGGATTGTGGTTGTACTTAAACAGATGTCAGTAAAGGACAGGTTGGAGAGGAAGAAGTACATGGGGGTGTGGAGGTGGGAGTCCGAGCTGACAGCCAGGATGATGAGCAAGTTTCCCAGGACAGTGACCAGGTACATGGATAGGAACAGGCTGAAGACGAGGGACTGCAGTTCTGGATTCTCTGTCACTTCCATGAGAAGAAATTCTAAAATGTCTGTTTCATTTCTGGGTTCCATATTGTTGATGAATCTTATGTAAATGATATGGTAACAAAGACAATGAAATGTTAGCTCCTAGGCGAGCAGCAGGAGTATCACCAAGCGCAAGCACCTTGTTGGGAAAGGAAAAAGTCAAATGGAGAGATGTCTTCTCTTTGTATATTATTTTGTTATTTTGAAAAAAGATTTAAAGTTAATAAATCAGTGAGTCAAGATTTGTTAATTCTGGAAAGGGTTGAGGAATCCTCATTTTTTAAATTAGACTATTCTTTAATTTGGTGACTTCATTAGAAGAAATGGGTAGTGAGACTGATGAGTCTCTCTGGATCTCCACCCTGTCTGCAGAGATCTCACAGCCTGGCAACAGAGGTAATACAACAGTATGTTAAAAACCCAGAATTGGAAGATACAGGGAAAACTGCCCAAGCCAACTCTCAGAAATCAGTAGAAGGATTTTTAAGCAAATGTTATAACAATCACTGTATTTGCAAATGAGCATATTCCTGCTGAGAAGGAAAATAGTCTTTTTCCTTACAGAGAGAAAATAGGAAACTGGCAGAATAATAACTATTTGGGGATTGGAGGAAAGGTACAAGGGAACAAGTCAAGAAAATAGAAGGCAGGAGGCAAATGATATCTTGATTCTAATCATTTTATGCATATACTCTTCACAGTTTCTGCTGGATAAACTCATAGTAAAATATATGCCCTCATTTCCAAACATTAACTAAGGTACATCAGGTTACCTAGGTTACATCACTGTGGAATGATATTGGACATCTCTGCTAGATGTTGGATGATGGAGACCGGTGCTCCATCTGTAGGAAGAGGAAAGGGATGGAGTGAAGCATCAGGCTCCTGGGCAAGAGAAATCATCATCAGGGCAAGGCACAGATATGCCGTTTCTTTTTTTTTTTTTTTTAATTTTTTATTGTTATGTTAATCCCCATACATTACATCATTAGTTTTAGATGTAGTGTTCCATGATTCAGATATGCTGTTTCTTTACTGGGGCAGGGCTGTTGAGCAAGGTTGTCACAATTTGTAGTCTCTGTACCTCTGGAGGATCAATATCCAAAGCTCTTTATTAGCCAACAATTGTATCATCATTCTGATCCCAGGGCAGTGCAAATTCTTTTAAGACTAAAGCAACAGAATTGATGAATTCAAGATGGTTGATACCCTGATGAGTCCAGGTGTTCAACACTCATTTCTCCACCTGTTTCTGCTCACATCTTCTATTTCACATACCTCCTAGATGTGGACATGCCCTCCTTTGGCATCTCTATGTAAACAATGATATCAGGAAGCCTGATAATAATTGTAGGTGTGAAATTGTATATATGTGTGTGTATATATATATTTCAGCCATAAGAAGGAATGAAATTCTGACAGGTACTACCACATGGATGAACCCTAAAAACTTAAGTAAAATGAGCAGATGAGAAAGGACAAATATTGTATAATTTTAGTTTAAGGTACCTAGAATAGGCAAATTCATAAAGATAGGAAAGTAGAATGTGGTTACCAGGGGAGGGAAGAAAGGACTGATTTTTTAGTGTGCTGGAATATATTAACAGCTGTGTCTGTGCTAATAAAATCATGTTGCTATTGGTAGGGTGAGCAAGATCCCATCTGGAAATATTTCACTGGAAGTTTATTTGCCCTGTTTTTATTCTTGTTATATTTGAAAGAACAATTCTGAATTTTCATTGAATGAGTCATGTGTTTTAGTGGCTCATTTTTAAAGTGCTTGAATTTCTCAGTCTTTATCTTTTAGATTGTGCTTATTCTCTTAAGAAACTCTTGACTTCAGGGGAAAAAAAAGAAAGAAATGCTTGACTTTGTGGCACCTGGGTGGCTCAGTTAGTTAAGCATCCAACTCTTGATTTCTGTTTAGGTCATGATCTTGGGGTCATGAGATTGAGCCCTGTGTGGGTCTCTGGGCTCAGTGGGGAGTCTGCTTGAGATTCTTCCTCTCTGCCCCTTCCCTACTTGCATGCATACTCACACACTCTTTCTCTAAAAATAAATAAATCTTAAAAAAAAAATGCTCAACTTCTCTGAGGTAATAAAAATATTTTCTTATTTTATCTTCCAAAATATTTAATCACTTTGATTCTTGTGTTTAATGCTTTGGTACATTGGAATGAATTCTTTTGAGTTTTTGTGGTAAATATGTATAACATAAAATTTACTATTTCAGCCATTCCATTTTTTTAAATTTTATTTTATTATGTTATGTTAGTCACCATACAATACATCATTAGTTTTTGATGTAGTGATCCATGATTCATTGTTTGCATATAACACCCAGTGCTCCATGCAATACGTGCCCTCCTTAACACCCATCACTGGGCTAACACATCCCCCCACGCCCTCCCCTCTAAAACCCTCAGTTTGTTTCTCAGAGGCCATAGTCTCTTATGGTTCGTCCCCCCCTCTGATTTCCCCCCCTTCATTTTTCCCTTCCTTCTCCTAATGTCCTCCATGCCATTCCTTATGTTCCACAAATAAGTGAAACCATATGATAATTGACTTTCTCTGCTTGACTTATTTCACTTAGCATAATCTCCAGGCCCATCCATGTTGATGTAAAAGTTGGGTATTCATCCTCTCTGATGGCTGAGTAATATTCCATTATATATATGAACCACATCTTCTTTATCCATTCATCTGTTGAAGGGCATCTCGGCTCCTTCCACAGTTTGGCTATTGTGGACAATGCTGCTATGAACATTGGGGTGCATGTGGCCCTTCTTTTCACTACATCTGTGTCTGTAAATACCCAGGAGTGCAATTGCTGGGTCATAGGGTAGCTCTATTTTTAATTTTTAATTTTTTGAGGCAGCTCCACACTGTTTTCCAAAGTGGCTGTACCAACTTGCATTCCCACCAACAGTGTAAGAGGGTTCCCTTTCTCCACAACCTCGCCAACATTTGTCGTTTCTTGCCTTGTCAATTTTTGCCATTCTAACTGGTGTAAGGTGGTATCTCAATGTGGTTTTGATTTGAATTTCCCTGCTGGCTAATGATGATGAACATTTTTTCACGTGTCTGTTAGTGATTTGTATGTCTTCAGCTATTTTAAGTGTACAATTCCATGGCATTAAGAACACTCACAGTGTTGTATGACCATCACCACTATCCATTTCCTGAACGTTTTTTATCATCCCAAACAGAAACTCTGTACCTGTTAAATGGTAACTTTTTCTCCAACCAGCTTTCAGAAGGAAACTAACCCTTTGCCATATAGCTGATTTCAGACTTCAGACTGCAACAGAATGCATTCATGTTGTTTTAAGAGGCTAAGTTTGTAATACGTTACAAGGACAATAGGAAACTAATACAGGACACATATCTCAATTCGGGCTGATGATAACAATAATGCTTTCTGGACGTCTCCTTGGAAATATTGTTTGTGTTGGAAGGAAACCCAAGGAGAGGCCGTCAGTTTTTGTTTCTGGGTCTGAAAGCAGGCATTAGTGGCCACCAGGAGAATAGCCCTAATAGGCAAATACCACCACATGGCAGAGTGAAATGCATCCCTGTGGTTCTGTGCCTGGACCTACCCAGTCCCTTAAGTTTTTGTTAGGAAAGATCATTGTTTTATCACTTGACCCTATTGGAGTTGAGAATTTTCTTAGTACAGCTGAAGGCATGCATCCTAACTGAGTTGAAGTATCTCAAATCTTCCCAAAATATAAACTAATATAATCATGCCAATTTTATAGGCGAGAAAACTGAGTTTAGAGAGTTGAAATAAAGCGTCAAAGGCCACATGGCTATGTTTTGGTGGAGGTAGGATTCAAACCCAGCTGGTCTGATTTCAAAATTCTTACCCTTAACCATTTGATCTCTGGTTTCATATATTCAAAGTTGGTCAGGCTGTCTGGATCACACCATTTTTTCTGTCAAATTCCAGCAGTGTAAGCCCAAAGCAGTTGACACATTAATGGAAAGATGATATCCTAGAGATAAGTTTCCTCAAAGCCCCCATCATGTCCTTGTTCCTCAGACCATAGACAAAGGGGTTCATCATGGGGGTGACCACAGTGTACATGACTGATACTATAGCACTCTTCCTGGAAGAGTGTGTAACTGCAGAACTAAGGTACACCCCAAAACCTGTCCCAGAGAACAGGGAAACAACTATTAAGTGTGACCCACAGACGGAAAGTGCCTTATATTTTCCACCAGCTGATGGGATTTTCAGGACAGATGAGGTAATTCGAGTGTAAGAGATAATTATCCCAGAGAGAGGAATAACACCCAATAGGCTGGTCACTAAATACATGAGGATGTTATTGATGAGGATATCAGAACAGGTAAGCTTGAGAATATGAGCTAATTCACAGAAAAAGTGGGGAATTTCCAGGTCTGTGCAGAAGGAAAGTTGTAGTGCCATCACAGTGTGGAGAAGGGCATCCAGAACACTAATAAGGAAAGACAGCAGAACCAGCAGCCTACAGAGTTTGGGGTTCATGATGATATTGTACCTCAGTGGGTGACAGATGGCCACAAATCGATCAAAGGCCATCATGACCAGAATTCCATTTTCTAATACAGCAAAAGTCAGGACAAAGCAGATTTATGTGAGGCAGCCTGTGTAACTGATGGATTTGCTCTGTGTCTGGATGTTCACAAGCATCTTTGGGATCATTGTGGTGGTGAAACAGATGTCAACAAAAGATAGATTAGAGAGGAAGAAGTACATGGGGGTGTGGAAGTGGGAGTCATACATAACAGCCAGGATGATGAGCAGGTTCCCGAGCACAGAGACCAGGTACACAGGAATAGGCAGAATAGGAGGGGCTGCAGTTCTGGATCCTCTGACAGTCCCAGAAGAAGGAATTCTATAGTATCTGAGAGGTTTCCTGATTTCATGTTGCTGAGGGGTCTGATAGAAAAGATGGAGGTGACAAGAAAACAAAACTTAAGACAAACTTTCTTAAACATGCCTATCTTTTCTCCTGCTTTCCTCTCTCCCTTCTTTACCCCTCCTTTCCTTGCTTTGTGTTCCCCTCAACATTCCCCCCCCCATACCATCCTGTCCCAAGTTTTTATTTTCTATCATTTCTTTTTTTTTTTATTTTATTATGTTACGTTAGTCACCATACAATACATCATTAGTTTTTGATGTGGTGATCCACAATCCATTGTTTTCGTGTAACACCCAGTGCTCCATGCAGTACTATTTTCTATCAATTCTTTGTCAAGTAGAGGTACTTAGTAAGAAAAGAGGAATGAAACATTACCCGGTTAAGATGCCTACAAACAGGGGTACCTGGGTGGCTGTCGGTTAAGTGTCTGCCTTCAACTCAGGTCATGACTCCAGAGTCCCTGGATCGAGCCCCGTGTAGGGCTCCCTGCTCAGCAGGGAATCTGCTTCTCCCTCTCCCTCTGCTCCCCCCCCCACAAATGCTCTCTCTCTCTCAAATAAAGAAATAAAATCTTTAAAAAAAGAAGCAAATACACCTGGATGATTACACTTTCAGGGTAATGCAGGGACTTACAGTAATAAATGCAAAATGTTTGACATTGCACATGCAATTAATAACACTTCAGTGTGTTTTATCCAATTATCTCTATGTTTGGGAGAAAAAAAAAAAAGACACTCAATTTTAGAAGTTCCCTACCTCTTTCTCACTGGTATTTTCTCTTTTCCACTTAACATTCTTTAACCACATAATGATGAGGTAAAAAAAAAAAAAAAAGATAAAAGAATGAAAGAAAACAAGAAAGGGGGGATAATTAATTCTAAAAATATTCAAATGTTACTGGAAGTCATTAGAGTCAAGCTCTGTGCTTAGCTTAATAGTCTGGATAGATATATTTACCCTTTTATTGGCTTTCATACATACCCCGTAATGTCTTTCTCTCCCATCATTTTTCCTTTTTTTATTATGTTCAGTTAGCCACTGTATAGTACATAATTAGTTTTTGATACGTTCAATGATTCATCAGTTAAATATAACACCCAGTGCTCATCACAGCACGTGCCCTCTCATTTTCCCTTTCTTACCAGTTTCTGAAAGTGAAAATTAACCTCTCTTTATCTAATAGCATAGGTCCTCCTATTTTTGCCTTAACCCATGTCTTTCATTTATATCATAGATAATATAAAAATGTTCTTAAAAGTTCTCATCACAAGAAAAAAATGTATGACCATGGGTAGTGATGGATGTTACTGAAATTTATTCTGGTAATTATTTTGCAATATTTACATATATCAAGTCACCGTGTGGTACACCTAAAACTATTGCAATGTTATATCTCAATTAAAAGAAAGAAAATGTTAAAAGAGTAAGCCATAGGTCAGACCCTCCGTCCTATTATTCCTGGTTCAGCCCCCTCAGCCCCTGGTTCAGGGAAGGAGTCCCATGTGGACCAACTCAGGACCAGCTCCAGGCCTCTCATATCCCATCTGGCTTCTCCAGATTCCTGAGAAATTGCTCATGATGCCCCTAAAGTGGCAATAAGGGATTGGCATGGGTTAGCAGATGTCTAAGCATCTGCCTACCATTCTCATGAAGTAATGAATTGAAGGAATTTCTTAACAATATCTCAAACATATGATAGAATTACAAGATGTGTACAGCGAGCCCACCTAATGTGATCCCTTTGCTTCACAAATTGAGGCCCTGAGCAGAGTTGACTTTTTTCCTGGAGAAAGACAAGGAATCATAAAAACCATCTAGGGATAAGGCTTGAACACAGACACTCCTTGGTTTAATCATGAATCTCCCAATTGCAACATGGATCTGTGACATGAGAAGGTCCCTGAACCTCTCTGAGCAGATTCAATTTTCTTTTTTTTTTTTAAAAAGATTTTGTCAGAGAGAGAGAGAGAGAGAGCACAAGCAGGGGAAGAAGCAGACAGAGGGAGAAGCAGCCTCCCCACAGAGCAAGGAGCGCAATGTGGGACCCAATCCCAGGACCCTAAGATCGTGACCTGAGCTGAAGACAGGTGCTTGACTGAGCCACCCAGGCATCCCAATTTTCTCATTTGTATAATGGCAACTACTATAAAATATACAAAGGTACTACATCAAACACTAATGATGTATTGTATGGTGACTAACATAATACAGTTAAATTAATACATACACCCACACATAGACATACACACACACACACAGGTATTACACTGATGAAAAATGAAAAGCACCAAGCACAGTGGGGCCTTGCAATGACTTTTCCTATCATTTTTGGTTTTAGCTCTGGACAGTCCTAATGTCTAGAAGGGAAGCTGAGAGTGAGACAGAATGAAAGAGGCAAGGAGGGAAGGCACCGCAAGAATATGATCTCAGGGCTGAAAGGGATGTACTCAAATCTCCACTGGGAGCCCTCAGTATAATGAAATAGAGAAAGGAAATAACCTAAACAAACATCAGTATGGGAATACATTCATAAGTTATGGCATAGTCATGGTACACCATGTTATTTTAATATTTTATACTATTATATCATCCTTAATTTCTTAAATGTTTTAAATATGCAAAGTCTAAATATTTACATTATTTCTTGCTGTATAAAATTAAACCAAAAACTATTAAAGGAGAAAAGCAATTTATATGATAGCTATAGCATGATGGAGTTTATGTAATTATAAATATTCCTTAAAATAATTGTTTCATGGGCGCCCGGGTGGCTCAGTTGGTTAAGCGACTGCCTTCGGCTCAGGTCATGATCCTGGAGTCCCAGGATCAAGTCTCTCATTGGGCTCCCTGCTCAGCGGGGAGTCTGCTTCTCCCTCTGACCCTCCCCACTCTCATGTGCTCTCTCTGTCTCTCTCATTCTCTCTCTCAAATAAATAAAATCTTAAAAAAATAATTGTTTCATGTTTAATGTTCAATTTAAGTACCCCCAAAAGTACAAAAAGACAATGAAGGGCTTAAGCCCACCAGCCAGCATGACTAAATTTGATATTGTGCCAAGCTTGCCCCAGTTTTATTAATAAAACAATGGAAATCGCCTTGAAACCCCAGCATATTTGTACACAATCTCAAGAGTGACCTTCCCTCTCAGAGGGAATTTTCCATGCTTTCATTCCCCTGAAATATTTCACCTGAGTAATAATGTAGCCATAAACATTCTATGCTTATGTTACATGCTCGTATTTGTTATACATAGTACATTATTCAATTCAGCAACTTTTTTTGGCTTTACATTATCTTTTCTCTATTTATCAAGATTGACACAAGAAGATCTGGTTTATTAATTTTAACATACATTCTCTCATCAGTGGGCCTTTGGGTTAATTACAATTTTTTCTATAGTAGAGATTTATCAGACATGTTCACATGTACTAATAGTGTTAAACTACCCATGGCAAATATCCACCAATTCCAGAGTGGTAACCTCTGGGAGGGGAGGAGGGGATATAGAGGATTTGTCCATGATGATATATAGTTATCCCTATCTGAAGGCAAAGAAAGGCCTTTCTCTGTGGGATTTGGATCTGATACTCAGTTTAAAATGTAATGGTAATATATAATGTGTATGTAATACTTTATTATTTTAAAAGAAAATATCTGAAGATAATATGGCCAAAATGTCACCATTAATTCTGCAAAGTGGTTGCATGGCTATTTATTTTACAGCTCACTGTGTTGTTCTGATGGCTTTAAATATTCTCTATTTTCTTTGGGGATTTTCAGAGAAAGACTGGAAAGGTAGACTAATGGGTCTCAACCTCCTCTCTCAAGGTCCTTACGGATAAGAAGTAGGAACAAGACTTGAGTTCTCTGAGATAAAAGCTGGAACCAGATATGGGAAAATTGAGAAGCCAAACTCACCCATCTAGTCCCATTCACAGCCCCCCAAAATGAGGGAAACCAGAGAATTGTAGAATTATCTGTCCAGGTTTTTTTTTAAGATTTTATTTATTTGACAGACAGCGAGCACCAGCAGGAGGAATGGCAGAGGGAGAAGCAAGCTCCCCACTGAGCAGGGAGCCCGATGCAGGACTCAATCTCAGGACCCTGGGACCATGATCTGAGCCGAAGGCAGATGCATAACTGACTGAGCCACCCGGGCACCCCTCTCTGTCCAATTTCTGAAGGGGCTAATTCATGTTCAGGTAGGGAAAGAGTCCCTGGAATTTTTTTTTTTTTAAGATTTTATTTATTTATTTGACAGAGAGAGACACAGCGAGAGAGGGAACACAAGCAGGGGGAGTGGGAGAGGAGAAGCAGGCTTCCCGCTGAGCAGGGAGCCCGATGCGGGGCTCGATCCCAGGACCCTGGGATCATGACCTGAGCCGAAGGCAGACGCTTAACGACTGAGCCACCCAGGCGCCCTGAGTCCCTAGAATTTAAAAGGCAGAGTAATAGCGGGAAATGAAAGCTGACTGCAAATTCAATGTAACAAACTTACCAAACTTTCTCTTACCTCTTGGATGTCCTCCAGATAGGCTGATTTTAAAAAAAAACAAAAAACAAAAACTGTTCAATTTCTCACAGCATTTAGTAGGGCAAATCAGATTACTTGAAGTCACCAATGAGTAATTCCCCTTTCCTCTAGATATTGAAGGGTAGAGATGGGAAATCTGTCCCCAGGAAGGGCAGAGGGACCAAGTAAGGCAATTGAGCTCCCCAGGGCAAGAGGGAGCATCTCAGGAGACTCAGGTGTGTTTCCTGACATGAACAGGTCTTTGACAGGAGTGGTCACAGATAGACTCTGTAGTCTCTGTGGCCCTGGGAGCTCAATTTCCAAAGCTCCTCATTAGCCAAGTATGTACTGTCGTTTCTTCCCCAAGGCATTTCAAATCCTTAAGGAGAACAGCTCATAGAAAGGACTCATGGAGGACTAGATTTCCTGATCCTGAGAGGACAGGTATACATCATTCTCTTCCCATGTTTCCTCTCACCTCCAGACAGGGA